CTTTAAAGGGGGCCCATTGGAGGCCCATCGTGGACCTAAAGGTTAAGCTTGGGCCTGGTAGTCAGGGCCCAGGGCCCATGTGGGTTAGGCCTTGGGCCTGGAGTTTGGGCCCATTCATGGGCCCTGAAGAAGACTACAGTCGATACAAGACTACTGTCGATACTAGACTTAAGTCCAAAGAACCAGACCTACTAAGTATGTATACCCAATAGTTAAAGAGTACAAACAAATCAAGACTGATTGTGCTATTAAAGGTAACTCTATAATAACAATATAAAATATATACTCCAAGTAACTGAGTAGATTGATTACAAAAAACTAAGTACATGAATAAGTATTTTTATATATCCTTGCTTATTATATTACTATTACGACTCCTCGTATTAGCGATACATTATATCTTATCAGTATTATAAGCCCGTTATATCGCTAATACGTCTAGTCATGTCACTGCTATAATATACATGACTTCTTTATAATAGCTAATATCGGTGTTTATGGCTTTTTCCAAATAACTACTAGATAAATGATTTATTAGGTACTTTCCACTCAGGAATCAGCCACCGTCATCCTATTGTTATTCTGCCTTGTGTGTCCGCCTTCGACAAGGTGCGCTAGACAAGGGTCTGTAACACTAGGGTATAGGTTAGGTTATGGCTAGATTACAATGGTTAGGTTATGCCACTCTAGTTAATCTAGATTAATTATCTAATTTTTAGCTTACCTATAATTAAATATAGAAATTCTATTAACCTAGTTATAACCTAGCGGTTAGGTATAACTGACCCCATTAACCTAACCTAACCTAACCTGGCCAAATGCTAGTCTAACTAGGGTATAGGGTATAGAGACTTGGCTCAGATCTCTCTCTAGTCTACACTACAGTCAACGAATCCTAAGCCGTTTTGATAACACATCACAGATCAAGATCCACTAGTCTCGAATTCCATGTATATATATATGGTTTTGCCACTATAGGCATCCATTTATTTAGTCCTGGATTTCTTCTTTGAGGGTAAACTGAATTTACAGCTCGTCTCCAATAGCACCAATTTACCCGCAGGTATGCAGAAAATAGGGGGAGAAAAATCAGAAGATATATAGCTAAGATTGGTGGTAGTGGAATTCTGCAACGACTATACATAGGCCCCCGATGTCTCAGGAGCTAAACTGGTCAAACTATCAGACCTTGGATATCTCCTATGGAGCCACTCATGGAAACGTTTTATATGCTCCCGCACTACCATGCGGATGGTAGGTACAGACGAGCATAAGATTCCGACGTGAAGTTCCAGCGCCGAAAGAATCCAAATTGGGGTTGAAACCCAGATCTCATCATAGGTTGAGAAAAGGATATAGAGATATCTGGTTTTAACAGCCCCGCAAGCGCAGATAAGCAGGCCGAGAAGAAACATTCCCAGGACCCCAAGGCGCTGCTTTAGGGGTAGATCCAAGTGCCACGCTAATGGGATTGGAATCAACATGATCCACAAATCCAAGATTGTTGCGAAGAGACTCCCAGTGAAAAGGATCATTTCACGGTTTGTGCAGTGGTACGGATAATCAGGGTAAAATGACGGCGGATTGAAATCATATGCGGCTTTGACTGGGCTGTTACATTTAGTACAGGAAACGAACGTATCTTTGGTAGGACCAATATGTCACACGAACCTGCATCGAAATAATAGCGCAAATATGTACGCGACTGCCAGCCCAGAGGTGACAAACATTGTAACGTAAATGATACTCTTGTACAATCGTGTTTTTGTATGGGCAATGAGGCGGCAGTAGAAGGCAAGAAACGATAGCCGAACAAACGTTGATGCCAATGAAAAAAAAACAAAATCGACTGTACTAAGGATCTTTGCCGGCTTGAAATACTGTGGAGGTAGATCCCATGTATGTCTGTCAATTAAGTATTTCCATTTGGACAGCAAGACAATAATCGTGACCACCGTAGTCGGAACCTTGATCAATGAATTAGAAAGACTGGTCAACTGATTGAACAGAATACAAGTTAGGCTTACCATCGCGAGTATAATCAAGCAATCCTCCGCAAAGAACCTTCGAGATATTTTGAGTTTGTCATACAAACGCACGCTCAGAGCAAAGGCTGCTAATACGTAGAAAAGAAGAACAATCGTTGGTAGAGCTGGCCCTTTCGTCTCGGGGTTGGTGTAGTTTGGAACTGGCCACCCAGCTACAACATTGGGTGGGATTTCAATCATGCTTATCTCCAGGCCTGGTGCTTGAAGTATAGTCGAATGAACCTAGAGAAATAAGGTTGAGGTGAAAAGGATGTTATCTCCAAGCTTTCAGGGGAGGTATGGCAAGGGTTGGGTGTGAAAACTGGTAGCTGGAGAAAGAAGCATGAAAGTAAAGGATACAAAACCATGAAAGGTCACTTTGCAGATTCAGAGGGGTAACTTTTCACGGCACCGGGATCCATGATGTGGAGGCCATAGTTGACCCACGGTGACTGTGAACTCTACTGCCACATATGCTGTTATTCACCAATCCCCGCATCCGAAGAGCAAACCCTAAAACGTCGTTGAACCAAACTACCTGTTCCATGAATCTTGGCCTGTCATCTCTCCTTGCCAAACTTTAACTCACCTAGAACACGGGTCTCGGACACTGACCGCCACTGTGCGTACCGTGGAAGGTCTCTACAAGGACTAGCCTTGCACTCGGGCTGTAGCGTAGTAATTGCGGCTTAAATAGAGATACTGCAAATTGAAATATAATAGATTAATACCCAACATCCTGCTCCTGATAATTCTCGTATCTATAGCCTGGTCCACCATGGTCACCAGGCAGCCTTGTCCTTCCACTGGGATGAGTTCGCTCTTTCATTGTGCCTGATTGATCCTTTGGCGCATACAGTCTCTGTCCCCAACAACTGACAAGAGTAAGTCCACAACATCCTCCCGCGTTACTGGAACAGTAATATGCCCCGATATTAAACTCGCAGCCAAACTCAAAGGCATATTTGCAACTCTCAAAATGACAGAAGTATCTTATACGCTCTTCAATCATATCCCTGACTCTATTAGATCTATCATAAATTCGTTGAGGACAGCTGAACCTTGCAGGCTCTTGCGAACACTTGGAATCTCGGCTGCCTCGAGATTGAGTTGGAACAGACCCAAGAAGATCATGCTGCCGCTCGGGAAGTTAACCAGTTATCTTTATATCATGGAAAGCGGAATTTAAAGACCTGGTGGCTTCATTCTTTGCCCAAGAGAGGCTCCCTGTGGTGGCCTATACCGATGGCTTGATAGCTCCCTGTGATAATGAAACGAGTAACGTTGCATTGGATGACTATGGCTGTGCATGTACTTCTTCTAGCATGCGTCCCATGATCTCCCATGGATCAGAGTTGATGAATGACTTCACGTTCTACCAGACAAACTGAGATAGACTTGAAAACGATGACAATCCTGTTAGCGAAGCTTCTATAGGTCTTTTAGGGTATCTAAAAGCTGTAATGGATGGTATTTCCGGGAAAACATGCGCCAAAAGGCTGGAAGTATGAACCTATTCTGAAGAGTTCCGGACATACTAGGGAATGGCAGCTCAAGAACCTGGCAAAATGTAAGGGAAGATGCTTGGCCCGCGTGTGCTGAGTAAGCATCCCGCGAGCGAAGCTCTTAACCCTCGCGTGTTCGCAAGGAACACACAGATCGCTAGTGACGACACCATAAGTGAAGCTACAGACAACAAGAGTTATCGCGAGGATATATCAGCCTTCTCTAATATCACATGACCTTTTATTACACTACCAAAATTACTACAATTATTTAAATCGATTGTACTATAATATCTAGATTACCTAGATTTCTTGAACCAATTACCTCCCTAGGTCGCCCATCTACATGGCCTACCCTACTTGAATACCCTGTGCAGGCCGATCAAACGCCGCCGGGGAAGATAGATTTTTTTCCAATTGGTTCCCTCCCAACTACAAGTCTCTAAGCTTGATAGATATGTTACATTGCTTGTTACAGAAAGTGGGTATGAAGGTTATCGCTGATGATATTACAAGACTTGTGACAAAGATGGTATCGGCCTTGTGGGCACGCAAGGGCGCCGTGAAGGAAACATAGCGGGGTGACGAAACTGTATAAATTGAGGGTGACTGAACCGGCAGATGGTCGGACAACCAGACCTTTCGTCTTTTTCCATCACTATACACCTTCAGCATGCGTTGCTTTCGTCGTTTCCTTGTGCTGGCCGCCGCCACCTTGCCGTTCGTATTCTCTGCCCCCGTTGCGAGCAATCAAACCGCCCTATCTGAAGTTCTTCCAGGTCGCTACATTGTACCCTGAAGAGAGACATATCCGTAGATGCCATTGTTTGCACAAAAGCTGGGTTTCTCGCATCCTGGCCGACAGTGATGGCATTGCAGAGGCCATCGCCGTCCACCCGTTAGATGGTTACTTTGGGTCCTTTCCGGGCGCTGTTATTAAGGGCATCAAGTCAAAGTCCGCGGTATGAAGGACTAGAGGTTTGGGACTCTACCGGCATTAACTACGCACATTTGATGTTCGAAGGTCTCGCTCGCCCTGGCTTTGTTGCGGTCCCAGAGCCCGATCTTGACACGTATGGGTATGGTATATACGTTGCAGGCACAATCGGCTCTCGTGTCTATGGAGTCGCCAAAAGGACGCAGTTGATCTCCGCCAGGGCTTTCCTTGTAGAAAGAGTATGGTGCCCGCCTTCCTTCACCCAATCCTTCCGAATGAGTTCACTGTTGGACTGACTAAAGGACATGCAAGGCCTCTACCTCGATCATCCTGCTGGGCCACGCCTGGGCTATCAACGACATCGTTACCAAGAAGCTCCAGATTGTTAACGCATCAACATGAGTATAGATAGGCCTTATCAATGATTCCAGAACAAGTTAAGGACACACTAATCTGTTAGAAAGGCGACGCCTTTTCCGAAAACTTCAACGCTCTCGGTATGACTATAGTTGTCGCTGCCGGGAATGAAGGCGTAAGTCTCCCATTCCTTGCCCAGCACGTCCCATTTAGCGCAGGACCATGTAGCAACTGACCTTTTACTTCCTTTCGTCTCAACTGTCCAGGTGCCCGCTATTACCACCAGCCTAGCCTCGAGCCCGCACGCCATTACCGTCGGCGCCATCGCTGCCGGGAACCTTGAAGCCTCCTCTAACTGGGTCGTTGCTCTCGACATCTTTGCCCCGGGTGTTGATACCCTATCGACATATATCCCTTCCCCCATGGTCATGGCGACTAAGTCAGGAATGTCCATGGCCAGCCCGCACATCTACGGCCTCGCCATGTAGCTTAAGTCGCTTAACTTCCTCCTGGGCGGAAAGACCGTCGACGCTCGCATTGATGCGCTGGCTACCAAGGGCGTGGTTATTGGTCAGGGCCCTGGGTCGCCCAACAAACTGGCCCTTAATGGAGGTGTGACACTCGCCAATAGTCGTCCCACTTAACGCAGCGCGTATATAGAGTATCGGGAAGTGCAAAGATTGAAGCGATGGTATATTATCTAGACGAGGCGAGGGGATTACTCCGGAGGAGTTTCTTTCAATATCACTCCATATCATGCTATTTGTACAGTCATTCAGATATCTATACCCTGTAGATGTACCTATGGCAGGTGGCAGGGCCGCTGAGGTGTAGATAGTGCGAGTACTTTTGTTTCCGTTCCTACTTGATTGGAATGCTACACAATTAAGCAATACTGAATGTAATCGGGCTCAATTCCACCGAAGTTATTATTCTAGGTCCAATCTCTGGTACATGCGGACGAAAAGTACCTAATCACATAATTGGCTTAGCAAACTGCGTAGTTTGTAGGAAGGTTAGTGTCCCCTACGCTAGGTGGAAAGGTAGTATTCTTAGTGTCAAAACTCAATACAAGATGTAGCGTGATATGACGAATCACACTCGGAACTGGGTCTGCAGGCAGGCATAGAGGCCGGGCGTTGATGCCAACAGTGGATGTTTCGGAGCAAACCTGGTCTACGTATGCGTTGCGGATGTTCTACGTTACCTCCGGCCGAGGGCGTCTTGTTGGCCTGCACGCTATAGCTGGATTCATGCACTCTTGCGACATCAGAGGACCGGGGTCTTTCTTTTACGAACATTGATTCCACTTCTAATGCCCTTTTGGGTCCTCGGGGAATGATTTTAATGGACTCCGATTCCAGGCTCCAGCGCTGAATAGATGCACCAAGTCTATAGTTTGAATCCTGTATTCTACAGGCGCAAATAGGACGCATCGTAATAATAGCAAGATGCTTTCTAACAAGAGGGGCAGTTCCAAGATTCAATAGTATAAATTGCAAGATACTCGCAGCCAGCTGTAATCCATGTACCAGGCCTTCACTACCAAACCAGTCGACGCAATGCTGTTCTCTTCTCTTGTTCTTCTTTCCCTGGGCCACCTTGGAGCTTTCTATCTGGTTCATCCTAATTCGCAAGCCAACGCAAAATTGTAGAGCGCGATGGCACCATCTATCATGACTTCGAGGACCGGTCTACAAATTCAACCATCGAGGCCGTCAAGAACTCTGGAATATGCGAGACCACCCCCGGCGTTAACACCTACTCAGGGTACTTCTTTGTCGGCGAGGGGATAAACATGTGGTTCTGGTTCTTTGAAGCCCGCAATAACCCTGAGACCGCTCCCCTGGCTACATGGTTCAACGGTGGCATGATTGGCCTCTTCCAGGAGAATGGGCCACGCTAGTTCTACAACGGGTCCCACGAGCCGGAGCTGAGTGCCTATAGCTGGAAAGTACGCTAACATGCTCTACATCGACCAGCCAATTGGAGTCAGGTTCTCTTATGGTGTTAAAACGGTTGTGCCGATAGATACCGCGGCCAAATACGTTTAAAAGTTGATCCAAGCGTTCTACAACCAGTTTCCAGAGTACTAGAGCCGTGACTTTGCCATCTGGACAAAATTATGCGGGAGTCACTACGGACCAGGGTTCGCAGACAACACATTGAAGTAAAACCTTGCTATCCAGCAGGGCAAGGAAAAAGGAGAAGAAATCAACCTGGATGCCCTCGGCGTCACAACGGCTTCACCCACGCCGCTGATGTCTACGAGTCCTACATTAACTATGCGTTGGTGGATATTTATCTACCCTTGATCACTCCGGCCCAGGCGGCAGAATACTACACGAAATACTACGGAGCATGTCTGCCTGCGCTCAACATGTGCCCGAGCCCGCTTCTTAAGCTTAAGTTAAATATACTAAGAGAAATCCTGGAGGAGAATAATATAGGCTTATTATTTTCGTAGAGCTGATGGTAAATCTCGGAGACAAGGTATCGAAATACTCTTGGATAATTAAAGCTACGTTATTGCGGGTACAAGACCTTGCATAATCTCATTCATTGAACTATAGGAATTATAAATAGGCCATGGAGTGACTAGTTACTCAAGGAAGTGGTGGTAGTAACAATAGCTTTGTATAAGAGTGTCCCCTAGACAGTCTACATATCCCCACAAGTTTGTGTGATAGGTCTACTTCATCGCACGTCATGTGGAAACCATCAAATACATATCCTTATCTCTGATAGTGGAGACTAGCCTGAATATCTATGTAATCTTCTATCCGTTTTCCGCGCTGAAGCGAAAGCTACTAAGATAAACATACTTACCATATGCAAAATTCCGTGAAACACTCAAATGACCACAGCAGTATTTTGTCCACTCAAATTCTGTTTACACCCGCAAGAGAGACAGTGTAATTAGCTAGGCTATCCACCTAAATAATCTGCTGTAAAATAAATAAGACTATAATCAGTACTAACAGGTTATAGTATGATATAATTCTATAGCTATTCTTTGAGATAATTCACACGACTTTAAAAATCGAAACTAGACCTTTTCTTTATCGAATACCCAGCAAAAATATCTATATTGTCTTTATTCCATCCCTTCCTTATACTTATTAAATACCTAGCCGAATATGTTTAATAGCAGAGTTCAGATAACCTACACATAAGCTAGAATTATTTAGCTGGTAGTGATATAATACTAAACTTTGGCGAAGGCCTTATCATAGTAATATCGTTAACAAGCTCCTGAGTGTTCTAGGCAAATCAGGCGTTAGTATAGTATGTAGGTTGTCTAAATACTTGTCAATTTGGATAGCGATTTCAGCGATAGAAAAAATTTTAATACTCTCGAAGAGACTGGGAGGCTCCCCGACTAAGCTGGAAGCAGAATCTGAAACCAATATATTGGAGATTCCATTAACTAAATCCTTGATCTCTTGGTTTATCGACGCGCAGAGTAAATACGAGAAGTCATTCACAATACTTTGGATATTATCCAGATTTCCGCAGAGGGGGCTCCTTGGCAACCGCAAGAGAGCTGGTGACATTCATACAAGATCCTTCAGATCCAGCTGCTGCTCTATCAGATTCTTTGTAAGGTGTACATCACCCAGTTGCCTCCTAGCGCTGCTGCTTGTGGCACAGGATGACCTGCTGGGATGGCCGTCATAGTCAAAGGCAATATGGCCACAGGTAGGACCTTAAAGCACCTCATGGTTTAACTTTGAAGTCAAAGTTTTCACAAGAGTAACGACTAAAGCAAGACTCAGCCGGTCGTGGGGTGGCAGTGTTGATCTGTCGGGGATTGGTACTACTTTTTACCGTAATGGGATACCCCAGGCACGGTTTTCTGCAATTCGCCAACCCCCACAGGGCTTTGGCCGGGGAATGGGGTTACAGGATCTAGATTCAACCGAGGCGATACCATCTCAGCGTGACCCCAGAGAAACCGATTTCTGGTTGACCCACTACCAACCAAGTCTTGCAATAGGAGTCCTGAAACGCACGTAGTCACTAACGGAGTATTACAGCACACACCTGAATCGGGATTCACCGTAGGAAGCTTGAATTTAACTCCTCAATGCCCCCCTTTGTGAGAGTATCCGAGCCTGTGGGCATGTGGGCATGAATGTATTTCCTAATTTCCGATCGTCCATTTTATCTGCCTCTCTTCTCTCAGGTTGCGCTTCTATCAAAGTCTCCCTTTCGACCGTAATCGTTCGTTACAATATTGTTTATTTCCCTGAAATACACTGTTTATGAGTTATGTCTCGAGCTGTCTCTATCCTGGACCGTAGGTCACGGTAGACCTAAGGACGTTATCGAATTGCAGGATAGCCCATTGAAATAAGGTGTACAAGACTTGATACAAACATGCATAATTTCAATTGAAGATAAAATACGGCCAATCGGCGCGCAGTCAAATAACCTCAATATATACCAAATTCACCTCAACAAGTGATGCCAAAGGTTGTTGCCGGTTACCGAGCAAGATTAAACAAAGGGCATGGTGCTCATATTGCCTAACACATCCCCGCAGCACCGCATGCCGCGTTTGGATCTATAGTTCCAACCAGCAGATCAAAAACACGCGGTCCAATCTTGGCAGAAATCGAGCGACATGGTTCAGCAAGCTCTGGATTAAGGTTGGAGCACATCTCCAACACTTTGTCGCCGACTGCACTCTCTGTGCTATTACTTTCGAGGCCTGCCTTGACAAATTGAATGGCGTCGGTGCATGCTTGACATTTGACATGGCCTATCATGGTATCGATGTCCGCTTCAGATATTCACTCCGGTGTCAGTTGGGCTTTTAAGGATATCTTATGATTCGCACAGAATGCACTCACGAGTTGTGCTTGGTAAAGCTGCAGCCATAGCCAAAAACGCAAAAGGCAGGAAAGTCTTCATGATAACAGGAGGGGATTGAGGAACTGGGTCAACTGTTGTGCAAAAGATGAGGATTGTTCTGGCTCTGAGAGTCTAATGTTGCTCTTCAACCAGGCACCTGCGCACCTTTATATGTTGCTCCCCGCAGATTGATTCCCGCATATTCATCTCCGCGGATTGATCACCAGATGCTCTGAAGAGAAAGGACTCACCCCTATTCAATTACCGAACCATGGGAATGGATAACTTCCCTATCCATGGTAGTGACAGGAACCAGAAAATATTCTCACTGAAAGCTGTGAGTTGGTTACTGAGTATGGCCATCTTCAACCTCTTTAGATATTTTACACTCACGCTAGAAGGAATTATTGGCAGCCGTTGGAACTGTTTAAACTTTCTAGCGTCTAGACGTTCACTAGTTTACCCGGAATGAAACCGAGTGGAGTTGACGTGCACGAAATGCCCCCGGATCCGTCCCGAATACTCGACATGATTGGGTGACAAGATATTTGGTTATGCTCCACGCCCTGACCCAGAGCCTTCTTGTGGCTTCTCCGCCGTTGTTTCACTTCGAAAGTTTATACCACCCTTTAAGGACCGGGATTGTTCCGACTGCATTGAATCCTTAGAACACGTCAACTCCATTGTACCCTTTCATGGCAAACAAAAGTGGTACCCTCTGTGCCAAGGCGGCCGTGATCTAAGATATGTTTCTTTTATGAGGCAACTCTTAAATCAATTACCGATATAACGGGATAGAATGGTTTCGATATTTTGCGCCCCTCTGCGTTTCTTGATAAGCACTCACTCCAGCTAATAGAACCATCAACTGCGGCGATGGTCCTGATCCAATCATACTCCGCTCCTTGCGACTTGGATTCGGTCACTTCCCGCGGCCCCTCGCGCACTATAGCTGGGATAAGTGTGACCAAAATCTGAACTCGCCGTCTGCCCCATACGAACTAGGACTATCCTTTGACACAAACGAATGGTCAGCAGCGAAGCGGGGGATTCTAGTCCAAACAATGAACACCTTTAATGCGGCCCGAAATGCCCCTAAATATCGCCGGGAACATTCCGGCCAGAGCGAGAATACATTCAGCTTCCTTTCTGTGCCGATCTTCGGCACGGTTTTTGTTAAAACTAGCTACTCAAACGTAAAACCATGACGAGTCGAGGTCGCTAAACTTAATGCAGCCGTGATTTTTTAAGCTTTACGACCGGACCTCGGATTGATTCATCCCAGCCAACTAAATATGACTTTATTTACCGTTTATCTAAAGGCTATCTGGAGGGTACTATTATTCTAAGAAGTAAAGTCGTTGTGAAGTCCTCTGTTTTCTCATTTTGTTCTAAATTTCTAATGGTGCTTTTAAGGGTGGTAGATGAATCTTGGAAACAATGAGTAACTTTACACTGCACCTTTTTGCAGGGGTGGGAAGAACCAAAACCAGTTGCACTGATAAGAGGAGCAATATGCAGGCCTTTCGAGACCATTTCTAAGGGCCGCCCATTCCTTAGAGGCCAAGATGGGGCCTTGACAATCCACAGTTAGTTGCAATAGTTCCTGGGCACAAGGTGAGCCACATTGTTATTACGGACATATCATTTAGTAACAGATCTCAAATAATATCCAACTGATCGTGCACGTTGAGGCTGTTAGCTCCTGATATTCACATGCCTGCGGTGTGCAGAATAGTGGTATAAATCGGGGCTAAGTAACACGGATGCTTGGTTGACTATGACGTAAAATCAGAGTGCGTTGTAGAAAACACAATGAACATATCTGCTATTATTCTCCTTGCTATAACATTACTGCTGAGTGCCAAGGGCACTCCTGCAATTACATTACCTTCTGTATCACAGCCTTACGTACCAATCAAGACATTATACCCGAAAGGCACCTTAGTAAGGCCCGCTACAGGGTTGAGCACCGAAGAGATGGAGTACTGGGCCAAGCGAAAGCGTGTTGCAGATGAGGCCCTTCGGAGGTGGCCGGCCAAGACCAAAGACGGGTTTAACGTGGACAGTATTGAACTACCTACAGTGAGTTGCAAGTGCTCCCTTCTCTCCATTGAAAAAGAGGTTCAGCTTCGCTGACAATAATCATTCATAGATTGGGCTCACTACCAGGGGCGGAGGCTATTAATCTTTTCTCGTTGGAGCCGGAGTGTTTCAAGGATTAGATGAGCGGGACAGTAATGAGACCACGAGTGGCCTTTTTCAGGCTTTTATATATCAAGCTGGTCTCTCGAGAGGGTCCTTGTTGCGCTCATCCCTTGCTGGGAATAACTATCGGACAGTTACGCATTTGAAAAATGGGTTGTGGGTAAAAGGGTTCTAAAATGGCGTTCTCCAGCCAGGTGGGTCTATCTCAGGTATTTACGAGGAAATCACGCTCGATATAACTAAAAAGAGGGCAGCTGGATTCGAGACAATACTTATAGACCCCCATGGTCGATTGCTGCCTTATCAGCTATTTGCTGGGCTAGACTACAGTGATAACCTAATCTTGTAATCGCACTGTAACCTAGAATAGCCATTCGGCTAGCGTTGTAGATCAGCCCAGCGAAAGTTCGGATATCCACGCCGCTGCTTCCTTGTCCAATATTACTCATAATGGTATCATGCTATTACACCACAAGAGCTATTCATTGGAGATAGTAAAAGCGACTCCTTAGTGGAAGCTACGTGATAGTTGCAGAGACTCATGTAAGCTTGTAGATACCATTACTCACCACTATATATCCTCGAGAGTAGAAAGACAAGTTTGCTTTACCATGCTGCACGACAAAGGTATTCAATTGGTATTCATTATTGCTTGGGTTATACAAAGCTAATCACCGTTGAAAATCAACCACCTGACAAGATGGGTCTGTCTGTAGCGCCTCTAATCCAGGCTTTCTAATTGCCTAGTAATTGAACCCGATCTGTGCGGTATTGGACCGAAATAAGCCTCGCCAGGCGCTAATCCCCGTCTTTCTAAAGCCTACCCCAATATCATTCAGTACGTTTCTAGCCTCGAATAATCTAGTGAGTCGCACCTAGGGAGCCTCAATATACCGCGCTAGGGGCATCCGAGTAAACGCCTTCTCTGGCCCGGTGTGCCACATCCAACTCCATGTCCATGTAGGGTAGGAGTATCTCAATGATACTGAAGTTCTGTTGACCAAGGACAGAGCAGAAGACCAGTTACTCTCGCAGCATAACTATAAAAGCGTGGATACCGGGCCTGGTAGAACAGTAGATTGGGTAAAAGGGGATAGCATGGAAGACAAGGGCAGAGCTGGTAACTAGTAGATTTCCGGGCTGCCCTTCCTTAATACGGGCTCCAGAATGAGAAAGGAAGGCCCCCAAGAGTAAGACTGGGGCGATCAGGTTGACCTGAATCTTGCTGGCGATGGATTCTTCCGTGCTGGTCGGGGGATCGAGGAGGCTGAAGCAGCATTGCACCCCAGCATTGATGCAGATGGTATCGAGAGTGGGATACGCCGTCAAAATCTCCCTCGGCCCCGTGAGGAGCCCCGCCTGGTTACTGATATCCCACTCGCGCGAGTGGAGGCCCGGCGGTTCGTTCATGAGTTGTTGAAGCTGCAGGTTGCGGCGACCAGTAATGATGACTTACTTGCTGGCGGCGCGAAACTTGTGAGCAAACACTTCTCCGATGGCTGATGTGCCGACAATGATGAGAACCGTAGTGATTTGGGACGGCATATTGGGTTGTTTGATGTGAGATGTGAAGAATATAAGGAGTGTAACCAAGGGTAGGCGCTTTGATTTGATGCTGCGAGGAGGAGCAAACAGACTTCCAACCATCGCCCCTGCCCACTTCGGCCGCCATTGAAATATAAAGACCATCAGAATGTGCTTCAATCTGGCTGTACAGCACGATTATATCAAATCCCCAACCATGCCTGTGACTTTCGTCGTATATCTCTTTAGAGACCAATCTGAGGACAATATCACCGGATTGCAATCTCTCCTCCAATCGTTGGAGCCCGACCCTGCTCTGAGGGACTTTCTGGCGCAGTCATACAAGGCCATCATCAAAGAGATCTTGCGGCAAGGCGAGTGGCCGCAATGGCTACCAACCTCCACATCAACCTTGCTTAATCTATTGTCTACACAAGCTATGCAGTACCTCCACTAGAGCATGCCCTAACAACCATTCCACAATCCACCACCTTTGCATAGTACTTATTAATAGTTATAATAGATCAAGGTCAGTCACACAGGTTCCATAATATAATTATAGTTAATTTAATTTATTATCTACTATACTTAGTAAAGATTAATACTTTTGATATTAAGTATAGTCAATCTAGATTAACTATCTAATTTTTAATTTAACTGTAATTAAGTATAGAAATCCTATCAATTTAACTATAATCTAGCGGTTAGGTATAACTGACCCCATTAACCTAACCTAATCTGGCCAAACGCCAGTCTAGGCCCATCGTAGGCCTAGGGGTTAGGCTTGGACCTGGAGTTTGGGCCCATTCATAGGCCCTGAAGAAGACTAGCCGTGAAGAAGCCTACGCACGCTTATGAACCTGGCACAGGTGGATTAGTACGAAAGAATATATTCCAGCGCCGATCAGAAGCTGACTCGTGCGACAGTGCTTGTTGAGAATTAATCAATTTTTATAAAAAGTGGGTTTGACGTCGCATTCGTCAACCTCTTTCATTCTGTTGTGAAGAAAGCTCTCGCTGGCGAGCTTCTCTCGGAGGTACTACGAGATTACTTCATGGCAGGGACCGGAACGTATTTGTTTTGAGGAGATCCTTTCCAACGTTTGGACTGGTATTTCTACACATAGTACGGAGCTCTGTTCAGCTTCATCTGGTGCTGAGAATACTCAGTGCACCGCTTACTAGGTGCAAACTTCCCGTTATCAAAACATGTATCGACGAAGGATTCTGGACAACTGTGCGAGCTCTCTCCAAAGCGTCTTCGATTGTTCTTTCACACCACACCGTAGACCCAGGTTTGTATGTTCTCCAAGTGCGCGCGTAGGCTTCTAATTTTTCCATTGAAGATCGGGCCTTCAGATTTCTGTCTAGGACAAGTTCAGCCCGTCATCCCCGGTTTCGTGAGGGCTTGGTCATAAATACCGATTCTTGTCAGCCCATTCCGCCTCTCATTGTACGTAGTCAATATCAGGTGCCCTATTTCGACGCTTTCTCTATCGAGGCATTCCTTGATCGCATGTAAAAGTTTGTCGCCGCAACGATCCGAGAAATGACTGAAAATGATCACCCTCGCGTGTTCGATGTCGATCCTATCAGAATTAGCATGATGCCGACACAGGGAGTGCATGCGTGGTTGTCTCTACCTTTGTAACTTGCTCATTTCTGCAAACCATGACACCGCAGTGGACAACCCAGAGTCATTATGAGCACCGTCAAGGAACCAACTGTGCCTGCCTTCCTTTATCTGCTGGTAACGCCCAGGCCATTCGAATGCCTTGATTCCACGGTCGATACATCCCGCCAGGTTGGTCAAGCTGTCGGGCATCATGATTGAGATCCACTCCGTGGCCACTCGTGTTGCAAGTGAGCAGTTTTCATTTTGAAATTTAATCACCGGCAAGGATGGGTCAGGCTCCACGAACGATAGTGTGACCTTTTTCTCATTCGCACGGTTCATAAGAGCCTCAGCGACAATTTGCTCTTGAGGTGATGAAATTGCGGGACAACCAGGCTTAAAGATGCCCGCCTTGTGCCAAGCGATATCTTCAATGGTAGGCCCGAGGAATCTGACATGGTCTTCTGCTATTCGAGTCACGGCTGTCACCACGGGCGATGCTACGACATTCGTCGCATCGTACTCGCCGCCCATGTGTGGTTCGTAGACCGCGACGTCCACCCCCTCTTTGAGAAAGACATGGAAGGAAAGAAGGGTTAAAAGCTGGAGGTACCGGGGGATATCCATGTCGACTGTAGGCTCAAGTGGCAGTACATCCCATATCTCGTAAAAAGCCTTCGTGAAAGCGTCTTCCTCGATCGGTTTGCCGTTGATCCGAATCCGCTCACGTATGCTGAGAAGATGCGGTGAAGTATAGAGCCCGACCTTGCACCCAAAGCTCTGGAGTATAGACGAGATATATGCGCAGGTGCTACCTTTTCCATTGGTGCCGGCTACATGAATCATGTTCAAAGTCCCCAGATCTGTTTGCTGTTCGACGTCAGCCGCAGCAGACACTTATGGTTTCTGGTGTCACCATACAGAGTAGCTGAGTAGTTCCAACCATTTTGTCATATCATCCGAGCCTCTCATTTGGCTCAAGCTCGGCTGGGCACTGGCACGTCTTCTATTAAGCAGCTCGATAGCGTCCTGCAATTGTTAGACAGTAGACACAAGAATCGACGAGCCACTCACATCGTAGTGTCTCCCCATTGTAGTAATTATCAAGGGGCCATGAGTGTCTTGACGATGGTCGTGCGATGTGGAATTGCTTACCGGAGCGGGGTCAGATATCACCTGATCTATGTCTCGGCTCCCCATATACTGTGTAGACTTCCCCAAGCGCCTGGTCACCAAACCTTCGATCCATTGGCGAATTTGGCTTAGCTTTCATTCTAAGCAAGACTCGCAGGATGTCCATTGTATGTGGAGCGCCTCAGGGTCCCATAAGGAGTCTTGTGCTACCAGACTGGTCAGACCCGTGGGCCTACAGGACCTTTAACAATGCTACTTTCCCTGTGGAAATCCTAGTAGGTGAGAACCACAGCCTCCAGCTGATCTTTCCGCATCATATAAACGCGCCTGGAAAGATGCACCCTACGTGTCGTATTCAGGGCTTGTCTACTCGTCTTACTGCACGTTGGTAGCTGTGCTCCCTCTATCCACAAGTGCTTTCTACGGGGTCATTCTCCGTCTGATCTATCTCCCTAAGCTTTGGTTCCCAGGCATAATGTACTTCCCATTTGAGGTAAATGCCGGCGGAATGAATTTTAGGAACACATCAATCAGCAACTGGGCGATTTGCTCGATATCCTGTCAGATGCTTAGACTGGTGAAATATGGGACTGATGTCCACACCACCCCATTTCAGAAGAGGAAACCAAACGGTATTTTAGAAGTCAAAGTAAAGCCATGGTCTCTCTACATAAATAACGCTCGTGCATCATCGCTACCATGCAGATAACCTTTTCGGGGTTGCAGAATTTGTTGGCAAGCTTGATCATTTCTGGTAAATCATTTCTGACTGCACCAATGTAGTCCTGACCTGAGCTCTTTTATTCTAGCGATTGCTCTAGAACTTCTTTCTGAATTGGATTCGCCACGTCCGCTTTATACCTCCTACCCCCTCCCC